CCTAAATGGTGACAGTGAGCCCTTCTGGCCTTTAAATCGATGAATCTGCTAGGACTCATGGCCCTGATCCTCCAAGATATTTAGGTACCTAATTCCCAGGGAGTTAAGAACCTACATATCTTTGAGGATCTGGGCCTGTATCTTCTGTGGATCTTAAGGCACAAGAAGGAATGATAGCCACATACATGGGCCCCGTTCCATCCAGCAAGCGGCAGTGGAAACACACATCTGTTGACCTCGTGACTTGTCTGCTGTTCCGAGTAACAGACCAGCAATTCCTCCCTTTCTTGCCTGACTTCTACACAGCAGACACGGCTGGCTGGCTGACACTCTTGCACTGTGCTTTTTATGCCTTTGTGGCCAGGCCCATCTTTGGTCCCTGGCTTGCAGGGCTCTTTGCCAGGTGGGGTGGTGCATGGGGGCTCTTGGTGGATTTACAGGGGGGAGGTCTTTGATGGGACTTGAGGTTATTGTGCACTGGTGTCAATGAAGGGTGTCTGTCTATTTAATGGCTGCTCTTTATTTTAAAGAGCCTGGGGTGGGAGTGCTTTGTCTGACAGTACAAAGCATAATAAATACATGCTGGCTGAGAGCTGCCTGGATTCATCTTCTCCGAGACCACTGGCCCACCTCCTCCTCCGACCAGCGCTCACACATGACAGCCCCCAAAGGAAACAGAGCCACAGGGCCCAGAGCAAGGGACCAGACTGAAACTGAAAAAACGGGCAGTGGTACGGGTCTCATGGGCCCTGTGATTGGACGTAGCCTGCGGTCCCCAAGCCGAAAGCCTTTTCCACACCTCACCCACATGGGCCCTGCCTGACTCATCCAGCCTTCAGGAAGCACTGCGGTATCATAGCAATGCAGTCTGCTTTCTGGGGCACCTCTTACCCACAGTGCTCGCTGCTGCAGAAGGAGCAGGGCAGACAGGACCTTAACATGGAGAGATGGTTCCCCTGCCAATCTGGGAGGTCACAGGGTGACTGGTCCTTTAACAGTGGGGTTGGGTCTCTCAGTTCCCACCTGTGACACCAACTCACTTCCCCGCGTGGGGAAAATGAGGCATGTGAGTTGACAAGGCCTGTGGGCTAGATGAGGGAGAAGACTAGGCAGGGGGAGATGGAGGTGTCTGCAGTGGTCTGCAGGGAGGTAGGAGACCTTGTGACACTGGGGGGAGACTCCAGCTAGGTAGGGCTGGAAATGGCCTGCCAAAGCAGGGAAAGACTCCAAGACAGAAGGCATGGGAGGAGGGAGCAGTGAGCCCAGGAAGGGCTGGTGGGAGAGATGAAAGAGAGCCCTGGAAGGATGAAAGCTGAGCCCAGAGCATGGGCAGGAGAGCATCTGAGCTACTGAAGATGGACTAGCCCCTTTGAAAGTGGGATCGGGCCCCATTTGAAACTGGTGTGAAGACTCTGTGTTTGGTTTTGGACTTGTATACGCTGGAAGCGGTGGACTTATTGTTAATGGCTTAGCTGAGTATGGGCGGGAGGGCTAATCACTGAGGGGAAACTGAGGCAGGGCTGCTGCAGGATCACCCATGCCATGAGGGGGCACTTTTGTGGTGACCCTCTCACAAGAAGGTTGCTTTCAAAATGTTGAACAGCCTGAGAGTGCAAACCCCCAGACTGTCCGATGCATTTGCAGCCCTCTAGTTGGGCATTGTGCAAATCTGGACCCAGGGAGAGACCTGCAAACTCCATTTGTTTCCTGTCTCTCTGACAGCCAGCAGACTTCTGAGCCCCACTTGGCATGGTTGTATGGTGGCTCTGGCCCCAGATGTGTCTGAAGGCACCCAGATCTTACAACGATAACAGGAGCATTACTTCCCTGCTACATAGCGCCACCCCTACCTCCTGAAGTGCGATAAGCATTCATTCATTAAACTGTGTGCTGAATTAAATGTCATCCGCTTTGATGATAATTCGTACATCTCCAGCCAGGCTGTATATCTGATCCTCTGCTTTTTCGCCATTGAATGCACAGCCAGCTAGGCATGCGGTGATCTTGCATAGAAATTAAAGCATCTGCCATATTGGTATTAAAAAGAAACCTAGGGAACTGCAGGTCACACCTCCCAGGAGCTCCCCCTCCTAAAGTTGTCCATCACCCTCATGTCTCCTTGAAAGGCTGGCAAGTATTTTCTGGGTTGGGGAGTGTTTGAGCTCACGTATGTGGCCACAATAGAGAGGCTGCAGCCTGCAGAAATGGGTCCCGACTTGACTTGCCTCAGCTGTTCCCCTGACCCTGCTTTGTTCTGGGTGTATAGCATGGGCCTGACTTGCAGTTATTTACTTTTGATTGTGCATTGCTCCTGTGTGGGATTCCCACCCTTGTTGATTTGGAGAGGGGAGGGGTTTGATGGCAGGGGACTGGCAGAGGAAAGGAAAGGTTTGCATATAGCCCTTGGTTACAGGATTAGCTATACCATTCAGCTTTAAGCCCTCCCACCTATGGAGCAGGTTATCCAGGTGTGCATGGATTCCTGCTGATGCACCCTGGTGCTGCTGCCCGTCCTCATTCGCTATAGAACAAGTTGGAGATTTTCAGGCGGAGTCCGGCAGTATGGTCTAGGGAGTAGAGCAGGAGACTTTGAGTCAGGACGCCTGGGTTCTATTCATGGGAGCTCTCCAGTGAGCAGAGCAGGGGACTATGCACTCAGGACAATTGGTTTCTCTAAACAGCTTGGTTCCTGACTTGCTGTTTGACTTTTGGGAAGTCATTTACCCTCACTGTGCCTCAGTTTTCCATCTGTAAAGTGGGGCTAATAATAATGACCTGCCTTGAGCGTTAATAAATTGCTCCCCAAAGGAAGGGTCTGCTGAGGTGCCCAGTGCCACAGTTCAAAGGAGATTGTAAAATCTCTGCAATTGTTTTTGTAAAGGTGGTGTGTCTAAGTACATCCTTATTTACTGATCGGGGGTACTCAGCTCTTTACAAGCACTGAAAGGCTAGAGGGCCTGATTGTGTTACATAAGGGCCATAATAGGTCAGACCAATGGTCCATCTAGCCCAGTATCCCGTCTTCCGACAGTGGCCAGTGTCAGGTGCTTCAGAGGGAATGAACAGAATAAGCAACTATCAAGTGATCCATCCCCTGTCATCCACTCCCAGCTTCTGTCAGTCAGAGGTTTAGGGACATGGGTTTGCGTCCCTGACCATCTTGGCTAATAGCGATTGATGGACCTGTCCTCCAGGAACTTATCTAGTTCTTTTTTGAACCCTGTTATAGTTTTGGCATGCACAACATCCTCTGGCAAGGAGTTCCACAGGTTGACTGTGCGTTGTGTGAAAAAATACTTCCTTTTGTTTGTTTTAAACCTGCTGCCTGTTAATTTCAGTTGGTGACCCTGGGTCTTGTGGTATGAGAAGGGGTAAATCACACTTCCCTATTCACTTTCTCCACACCAGTCATGAGTTTAGAGATTTTTGACATTCTGTTGAAGCCAATGTTGAGTCTCCCGGCGGTGGCAGGATGGGGCCCACTGTACCGGTCCAGAGAGCATACAATGCAAATAAGACCCAGCCAATCCGGTTCAAACCGCCGTTCCCTGGGCAGCCTGCTGTGCAGTGTGGTGCGTGTCTGTGCATGTTTTTAGTGGATTATGGTTGAAAAGCTTCAGCGAAGTGGGTTAGGAGAGAGCTGAGCGTGTCGCCGGGGAAAGCTACAAGGGCTCTTCCTGCGCTCGCTGCAGGGGCTTTAGTTAAAGGGGCATTTCTGGGCACTTAAGAGGGAGGTCATGGGTGGTCACTTTGCGTGTGCAGTGGGTGACATCCTCGTGGTTGCTGTGCCACTTGGTATTTCTGAGATCACCCTGCTTACGAGGTCAATGCTTTTATTCCTATTTATATTTTCCTGGCATGTAGAGGCCCCCTTGTGCTGAGTACTGGACAAAGAGACAATCCCTGCCTCAAAGAGCTCAATAAACAGGACAGCCCAAAGGTGGGAAGGGAAATAGACATGAACTTATGTACAGCTGGGGTTTGAACCAGCTCTTCTAAAGCCTAGTTTGGTGCCTATCCAGTAGGCCTCACTACCTTCCCTACAGAGGAGACATTCACGTGTTCTTACATCACTTCCAGAGATGGTGAAATGGCACCAGGCTCCATTGTTACGGGACAATATTTTGATGCAGCATCATGTGTTGTGGGATGCCAAAGCAGTACCTACGATTCCAATGCACACACACCGATCAGCATTAACCCACGGCATCCCAGAGTAGCCCAAAAATATCCCGAACAAGCCAGGGCAGTGGCTGAGTTCTTGTGAGCTTTTAAACTTCCTCTGTGCAGGCACTGGTTCTTGTACACGTTCATGTGCATATGACAAATGAACACGCATTCCTGTGTGCACGGACAGTGCCACTGGGAATCCATGAGGGAATGGTAGTGGGGCTGTTTTCTGCCCATGTGATTATTGGTCTAGTGGTAAGCCTGGAAGCTAGGAGTTTCTAAACATTAATCCTGGCAGTACACTGATTCCTCCTTTGGCTTTTGGCTCCAATTCCATCACCTGCAAAAATAAAAGTAGGGAACCTACCTCTACAAAACACTTTGATACCTATGGATAAAAGCACCATGTTAGCGTCAGGTGTTGCCATTATATACTTTGAAGAAGAAGAGCATTCAGATTTGCATACTGAACTAGCTAACAGGTATACGACACAGCTACCTTCTACTGGCTGTAACCAAAACTGCTCAGCTGTGTGTCATAGGCCCTATATGACTAACTACCGAAGGTGAGTTGCCTTTTACTCAAGTGCAGGGGCTTTCTGAGAATGAGGTTTTCAGCTCTAGCCCTGATCTTGTTGTGACATTCTGGGTGGCCATGGTGATGAGCATATTAACAGCCATGGCACGCCTTGATGCCCATGGACTTTCCCCCTTCGCTGCAGCCTTGCATTTAGTTGGCTTTATCCCAAACACAGAGGAATTTGCAAAGGGCAAGCTGGTATCATTGCAACATTTAACTGATTTCGTTCCCAACTCTCTGTTGCCTTTAGGGGTTAACGGTGCCCAGAGTGGAAAATCAGGTGAACCAAGCTCATCTGGAGAAGATGATTAAGCATGCGGTGCAGGAATATTCCTATAAGAACACGATAGAACCAACAGCCTATAGGCCAGAAAAATATTGGTTAACCAGACCCGAAGGTATTGCGGGATTGTTTAAACCACCTGCCTCACAGCCCAGCTCCCTGTCCCGCTTCTTCCAGCTCGTCCATAGCATGCTCTCACCCGGTGACGAGAACTGCACTCAGAGCCCAGGGGTTCCTAAAGAAGAGTGGGCCTCAGGGTGTCGAACAGGGGCAGATTGCCTGGGTTCATAGACTCATAGACTATCAGGGTTGGAAGGGACCTCAGCAGGTCATCTAGTCCAACCGCCTTGCTCAAAGCAGGACCAATCCCCAATTTTTGCCCCAGATCCCTAAATGGCACCCTCAAGGATTGAACTCACAACCCTGGGTTTAGCAGGCCAATGCTCAAACCACTGAGCAATCCCTCCCCCCATTACTGCAGGCCAGGAGGCTGCGGTACAAGCAAAGGCAGCCAGGAGCAAGCACAGTCCCCCACCCTTTGTATCCCTACCTTTGCTCCTGCAAGAAACCCTTCCCAGTCCAGTTTCCCCTCATACAGACCCTTCCTCCCCAGTGCAGAGACTCAGGCTCTTGGCTCAGCACTGACGGTGGGGAAGCAGCTCTCTCACGGCTGGGCTCCCTGTGTGGTTCTCTGATGCTGAGATCCAGGTACCTCGTTGAGGGAGCAGGCGTGGCTGGTCTGGCCCAGCCACAGACCATTCACAAGTCAGTCCAGGATGCACCCAGCCTCCCCTGGATCCTGGGCCAGCTGGCCTCAGTGCCCAGATTCCAGGTGCAGAGGCCAGGATAGTCCAAGCTGGCCAAAGGATTTGGACACCCAGTTCCCATGAGAATAAATGGGATTCCAGCGTCCAGACCTCCGGGGGTGGTTTGGAAAGTCTCAGCCCTAGATTCCAGGAACCTCAAAACCCACACTGAGGTTGCACCCGTTCCTCTGAGGCCTGCCCCTCCCCATGGTGCATACCCATTGCATTGTGCTCCCCTTCCCCATCTACCTGATTGCAAACTCCCCTCCTCCCCCCACCCCCACCTTCTGCCTCCATATTACTACGGCACAGGGTGGGAAGGGACAGGGGAGCTCACCTGGGGCTAGCCAGCACCCCAGCTGGCATGGAGTCAAGCTGGCTAGCTAAGCTCCCCTGTTCTCTCTGAAGAGCCCCGGGCTGGTCCACTTGCCTCTGCTCTCCTCCCAGCTGGCCCTTCGCTCTGCCCCCAGGAGGGAAGGGCAGATGGGACTGTCTGTGGGCACCTGTACGCCTGCTCCTGCCACCCGCGGGGTACAGAGAAGGGACAGCCACCTGCATGTACTTGAAGGGTATAACCATCAAGCAGCGGGGAAGGGCTCGCTGGGGCAGTGGGTCTAACTGGGAACGATGGGATGAAATTACCTGAAGGAGGATTGAGGTTGAACAGCAGGAAAAGCCTCCAGAGGTGGAGACGTACCAAGGTGTGGAATCGTCTCCCAGGGGAAGGGTGGGACCCTCATTGCCAGCTGAACTGGGCACAGGCCCGGAGCCCAGTGGGCGGAGAGCAATCCTGCGCCGGGCGGAGATGGGCTATGGCCATTTTCACTTCCTGCCACGTCCAGGTTTGACCTATTTGCTGGGCAGCCGGGGCGCTGCTCCCTGGCCCCCGCAGTGTGGCAGGCGGGGGCTCCACCATGGCCGGTACTACCTTGGCTTCTGCGGGTGCTGGGTCAGTGCTGCGCCCCCCGGCTTGGGAGGTCCATCTTCGTCCTAGAAATGGGAAGAGAAGCAAAGGGCTAGTGGGGAGGGAGGGAAGCTGATTTTAAAAAACCCAGCATGGTCCTCTCTCCCTCTGGCCCTCACGGCCAGGCCAGCAACACCCTGGAGAGGTGCAGTTCATGGCTCCCTGGCAGGCTCCCTTGGTTCCTCACCCTGGCTGCTGACACACCAAAAGGGCTGTTCTAAAGCACAAGGCTGTTGGATGTTCCTGTTGCACCTAGGCCAAGAGTTTCCACCACAGGAGCCCAATGCTAGGCTCCTAAATCCTTATTTAAGCTCCGGCTTTTCCGAAGTGCTGGGCTCCCACTGACATCAGCTTCCCGCCCCTGACTTACGTGCCTAAATAAGGCCCTCGGAGGCTGACGCTAGGCCCCTATTGTTGCAAATCTTGCTCTAGTTTCTCCGGCCCTGCTCACCGCAGCAGCCCTCGGACAGCGGCACTGTCCGCTGCTGTTCTTGAAGCCTGCTGTTGAGTGGAAGGCCCACCTTGCCGCGGGGCTGCAGAGCACATGCTATTCAGAAGTCCACATTTGGCTCAGTTCTCACACAGCGGTACCAGAGAGACTACAGTTATTTAAAATAAGAAATAAGTACAGCATTAGCTGGTGCCCCACTGTCTATTTTTGTAGTGCCTTCCAGCCCCCAGTGTAACCACCTGATGCACAAATTCTGCCCAGAGCTCACTTAACCCACCACTGCACAGCAGCCACCTCTGGTGAGGAACACGGCTACTGTGTAACAATGTACGGGGATACTAAACCACAGTGGAGGATGGGAAATGAGGAAGAATCTACTTGACACTGAAGAGAGACTTCAGGTGGGCAGGATTCACTCCCTGAGCTCTAATTTAGCCAGGACACTGGGGTTAGCATCCTTTCTCTTGCAAACAGTGCCAGAGGCTCGTTAAAGACCATGAAGGGTCAGGGTCTCAGCTGTATGTTGCATCCAAAAGAGAGCACCTCCAGCATCCCTGAATCCCTTGCACCATGGTGTGGAACGGATTAATGTCTAATTCATGTGGGGACGGTGGCACCTACGAAGCCACCAGCACCAGTCCCTCCAGCATTCTGAGGTTCCCCGGCGCACACTGGACAGGCTGGAGCCGAGTTAGTCTGGATGGCGGGGCTGTTTGCCTTGGCTTTTGTTAAGGAACCCAGCCCGCACCCAGAAGCTTTTGGCTAGCTACACGGTAATCAGTTTGCAGGGGCCAAAAGGACGAATGTGATCCTGGGCTGCATAAACGTGCAAAGAGTGAGTAGGGGAAAGGCGGTGATTTGCCGTGGGTTTACAGCATTGGTGAGGCCAGTATTGGAGCATAGGTCCAGCTCTGGTGCCCACATGGTGCAAAGGGTTTTGAAAACTCAGACAAGGTGCTGCAAAAAGTCACAAAAATGATTTGGCGGTGGAAGGGGAGGAAGCCTGACTGTGAGACACTGAGAAAGCTCAGTCTGCTTAGCTTATCGAAAAGAAGATGAAGAGGTGACTTGATTTACCGTGTCTAAGCACCTTCACTGAGAGAAAATATCAAGCACTCAAGGGCTCTTTAATCTAGCAGAGTCAGGCAGAACAAGCCTCAGCAGCTGGAAGTTAAAGCCAGACAAATTCCAATTAGAAATGACACTTTTTGACAGTGATGGTGATTAACCATTGGCACAAACTATCAAGGATAGGGGTGAGTTCTCCATTCCTTGATGGCTTCCGATCAAGATGGGTAGGGTGACCAGATGTCCCGATTTTATAGGGACAGTCCAGATATTTGGGGCTTTTTTTTATATGGGCTCCTATTACCCCCCACCTCCATCCTGATTTTTCACACTTGCTGTCTGGTCACCCTAAAGACAGGTGCCTTTCTGGAAGAGATGCTTTAAGTTGTTGGGCTCAATACAGGGGGAACTGGGTGAAATTCTCCGGCCCATGTAATAGAGGAGGTCAGACTAGATGGTCTAAGTGTCTTTTTTGGCCTTGCCATCTAGGACTCTGCGAATCCCGTTGTTCTTCCTCCCTGGTAGGAAATGTTTGTCTGTTTGTCCATTTACATTTCAGAAAAGTACAATCCAGCTTTTGTCAGTGGAGACAAGTATGCAACGTGGAGGACAGGCCCCTACAACAGCGCGGGGTGGAATAAATATACCACCTACCTCCCCAGGCTTCCAAAGGTAAATCCTGGACCTCCAGAACGCGCCTGCTTCTCGTCCCTAGGCAGGTTGTGGCAGACGATCAGGGAAGGGGCTATGCTTTCAAAGCGGCCTGTGGGATGTCAGTCCATGTCTCCTCCTATTCTCAAATAAGAATTGTACAGCTAGCTCCTGCTCCGCTCTTTGCTTTGCAAATTTCACCCTTAATAACCCAGGTCAAAATCCAGTGTAATACTTCTTTGCCCTTGCCTAGCGCCTTCCTGCAGGGCATCTCCAACCGCTCAACACTGCAAAATGGAGTCAGTCCCCCTGCACGCTAAGCGAAGTCCTGTCTTCGTCTGGCTCTAGACCATCCTCCCGAAGGACGTGAGGAGCTGCTCCAGCTACAAGAAGACTTTCCCCACTCCGTAGGGAGAGCTGTGTTTTCAGAGACAGGGTTTCAGACACAGCAAATAGCTGTAGCTAGGATCTGTGCAAACGCGGTGGGTATAAGAGGCCAGGGGAGGCTAAGCTTTGCCAACCAGCCCGCCCACTGCCTTTGGAGCATGCCACCACTGGAAAGGCGGGTGCCCCAGCCGGGGCCCAGCCTGCGCTCCGCCCCAAGGCCCCGTTCCCGCTCGTCACTTTCCCCGGAAGCTCTGCCTCTTCCAATCCCCATGCTGCCCCCATGGGGGCCTCGTGGGAGAGGGTGAAGAGGTACACACAAGCGGTGGGCAACCAGCCGACTCAGGTGGCCGACTGGTGGGCAGGCACGGGGGTTTGGGGGAGGGGGTGAACAGGTACAAGCAGTGGTGGGGGCCTTTGGGAGGTGCCCGAGTGGGGATGGACAGGGCTTCGGGGGGAGGAGACTGATCAGGTGTGGGCCTCGGGGCAGGGCCACAGTCCGGGCACACGCAGCCTCCCCAAATGGAGGAGTCCCGTGCTGCCTATGGATCCGTGGCTGTGGCATTTTCATGGCACGTGTGCTGTGTAGTTCTGTGCAATAGAAGCAGAAGGATACGGCCAAGGTAACTCTAGGTTCGCTGGAGCCTATGGAATGACTCCGGTGTTGGCCCAGTTCCCAGTGGGCAAGCGTCCGCCACGTCAGAAAAGCCACCGGCTCACTAAGCAGCATCGACACTGGCGGTCTCACCAGAGAGGCCAAGGAAAGGATGGCGCCTGCCCTCACCGCCCACGGGCAAGGGCAGGGCAGGGTGAGGGAGGCTTGCGCTTTCCTGATCCAGGGACAAACAGGGGGCTGTGCAAGTTTGCTGAACATACATGGAGGCTCTGAAATCTTTCCTTGCAGGAAGCAGGGATGGAGACCATTCTCCGTGGGATGCCCATGCAATACCCGCCGAAACCCGACCGGCTCAATAATTATGGTAATTGTACTGGGTCCTCCTATAACCTTACCTCGAGAGAGCAAAGATTCCAGAAGAGCCAGTGGGGGAGTCTTTAATCCACACAACACCTCGCGGGCTGGAAACACAAGGCGTCCCGCAATGAGCAGCAGTGAGATAGTTCCTTGGGAGGTTTTTATAGGCAGCATTTCTGGGTCCCTTCAGCTGCAAAAGGCCAGGAAGCCCCTTGAACCATTCTGGAGCACAAGCTCTGCTGTTGATGTCATCTGGGGCTGTGAAGATGATGCCAGGACTTGCCGATTAACTGCCCCCAACTCAGCTACCTCCCTTCCCCTACTCACCAACCCCACAAGGCAGCTCACGGTCAGAAACCCCTGAGGTTACCAGGCTTCCTGAGGTTGTGAAGGTGTCTCCTCCCTGGGGCTGCTGGGAGTGGGGCACGGTGGACTTGGTTAATCCCTGCCACTGGTAACTTATGGTACTGCTGAGTCTCTTCATCCTGGAGGATGTTGGGGGCTTTCTTAAAGGGACACTCCCCTTGGGAAATGTTGTGGAGGGCTCCCAAGCCCTTGTGCATTGACCCACCTGCCCAGGTCACCAGCGGGGCCCTTCTGCACCAAAGCACAAACCTCTGCAGCTAGAGCTAAAGAAGCAATTCAGTAGCTGGCAGCAGTAGTAGATTGTTGTCCTGCATGTGGCCACGAGAGGGGAGACACACACACACACACATGCATGGGATACTTGCTCTAGCCACTAGCCCACACACCCTCCCTTCCCCCACCCCCCATTTGGACCTTGGTTGCTATGGTTTTGCCCTAGTTGCCACGGGCTCTGTACCCAGAACGCTTGAGGGCCAGGGTCTCCGTCTAGGGCAGCGAATGTCCAGATTTCAACGCCGTGGGGTTTCCCCTCTCCCCAAACCCTTTGGCTCCTCTTGTTTCAGAAAGGGAAGTGGTGGTCAACATGCTGAACAGCTTATCCCGCAGCCAGCTCCCCTCTGTCCAGCACGGGTCTACCCTCCCCGGGAGAAAGCCCTTCCAAGGCTACTACAGCCCCTGCACCGGGCGCCACTACTGCATGCGGGGGATGGATTACTACGTGGACGGAGCCCCCTGCAACGAGAGGCAGCTCAACCAGCTAGTGGAGAAGATTGTAAGGTTCGGAGGGTTACGCAGTGCACATAACACTTCCCTCGCAGGGCAGAGCTCGCTCAGCTGCTCTACGGGACGCATAATCCAGCCCCGTCCTTCCTCATTGCTCCTGCAGGGCTCACGGGGGGTCAGAACTCAGGCCCCGATCCTGCCCATCACACCCAAAGCTCCCCTGGGTGGAAGGAGAGTTTGGCATGCAGGATCAGGCCCTTGTTCCCAGCAGATGGGCATTGTGGGGCAAGGGGAAAGGAAAGGCAGCGCTCAGGGAAACATGGGTGTTCTCGGCCCCCGCCTTCACTGTCGCCCTGGGCCTAGACCACTGAACGTCATTGAGAGTTGAGCAGGAGAGGCCAGGGCGTGTAGGAGGGGAGGCTGAGGTGGGGATCAGTGCAGAGAAAGCAGAGCCCTTCCATGCCCCTTTGCAAAGGATCAACACCTTCCCCCCCGCCACCTCCAGGAACACACCCCCATCCCCTCCCATCCGGCCCCGGGGTAAGATCCCCATCTCACTCGTTCGTCTCCCCATATTGCCACCCCCAAATGTTCAAACATCATGAGTCAGGCTCACCAAAAATCAGATTTTTAGTCGTGAGATGATGTAAAAAGAAGAGCTTGGGTGTCCTTTTGATTTGCCTTCTGCTTTTGAGCCTTTGGGGTGCACTGGGATCACATTTTGATGCTTTCTCCACAGCCCTTACTTTTTATTTAAGAATGAAGGCTGAAGTCATCACATATCCACCTGACTCCAGGAGCTGGGGCTTTAAAGAACCCAGTAATTATCCTGAGACTCAGGACAAAACCATGAGAGTTGGCAACACTCTGGCGCCTGTCCCCTTTCTCAGTCCGTTGGGTTTTCCCTGGGGGTGTTTTCATTTCTCATTCCCCTTTGCCTCCCTGCTCTCTCCGCCTCCCCCACCCTCGCTTTCCCAGCTCTCTTGTCCTCCTTTTTCCTCCCCACTAGTGCGCTGCCCTTCCCCCCCACACACACCCCAGTGCTCTCCTCCCTCTCCACCCAATGGCGGGAGCAATTGTCAGCGAGCCCAGCTGAAGTCACCAGAACTCTTTGCTTGAGTAGCCAGCAGCAGCCCTGCAGCTCCCCAAGACAGAGCTGTGAGCCAGGTACATCCCCTCTGGCCCCGCAGAGGTAAGGGTAATACCCTAAAGAGGGATATAGATTATATATACACAAGCCTGGCCAGAAGCTCTGTAGCCACAGAGGCAGGGGCAGTGACCGGAAAGTGGCTACAGGGTGAGCCAAGGGTGGGACCTTCCGTACAGGAGATGAGAGCAATCCTGGCAAATACATGCCAAAAACCCCAAATATTCAAAGCTCTGGGTCCTTGTGGGGCAGCAGAGGGTTCTGGAGCAATGGGCAACGTGAAGAGGACTGACCCACGGAGTTAGTGACTGAAGGGCAGGCGGAGAGGCTGCAGTAGCAGCTCTGGGTGTTATTTTGCTTTGGATCAGGGAGGCTGCACAGAGGAACCCATTCCAGCGCTTGGGCTGTCTCTGTCTCGGTGTTTATAAAGTGCCCATCACCCATGGGGTCCAGCCACACAGAAATTACAGTTTTTACTAAGCGGGTTTCTGAACCTGGTTCATGCCACCCCTGCAATCTCCGGGGGCAGCTGCTCGCAAACCGACTTGAGAGCGGCCGATATACGTCTGCTGCTCCTGTGTGCAGACCATCCCAAAGCCCCAGCCCCGCCTTGCCTTCCAGGTCACAGGAGCTGCAGACTGTGTCTGGTGCTCGGCACCTCTAAAACCTGCCCTTAGGACGTTAGTCCCTGTGCTGCGGACAGTCCTCTCCCTGTTATCACTGCTCCATCCCAGACTCCTACCACCACCACTTGTGTCTCTGACCCTGTTGATGCCACCACCGTGCCCCACTTGTGGGGAGACAGGAAGGATCTTTCCCACGTAAACTCGCTGACCACCAGAACGAGAGGGAACAGAGATGAGTGAGCCTGGCAGCCTGTTGCTATCGCTAACCATACCCCTTGCGTTTGTTTCAGGAATATCCCATACTGCGACTGCAGCCAAGAGACGATGGGCTATGCACCTTTGCACAACCCGCCGCAATCTTTCCCGTATATGAACCTTAAGTAAGAAAGTTAAAGCCGGGTTCAGTGGTGGGGGAAGGGCACAGTGGCTCTAAAAAATCATGGTTTACACTGGGGAGAACAGGAACCTCGCAACAGTCCTGGACTTTTCCAGAGGCTAGATCTTTCCTCATTTGGGTTTCAAGTGAATCATGACAAATGGCTGCATGTATTATGGTAACCCCTGGAATACAGAGAGCTCAAGTGACTTGCCAAAGGTCACAGAGCAAGTGGCAGAAATTGCAGGGGGGGGAGCTTATTTTTAAGGGACAGCACCATGCTTTTATTCATGGTACAAAATAATGAAGGACCGTTAAGGGACCAAACAAAGGAGTAGTGTTTGCTCTGCTCACCCTGGGGTCCTGGCCTGAGGGTAAGAGAAGCTGTTACCAAAAGGGTCGCAAGAGGCCACCTTGATGTAAAACAAAACCTGCAAGAGGCCAGGAGCCTGGGATGGTGACTTGGGCCCAGGACCAGAAGAGTGATTCCCCAGAACTATAAATGTGACTAGGAGTGTTTAAAGGAGACCTAAAAACAGGTGCGTAGATGGATTGGTTCCCTTTTGCTGCAATGCTTCACCTCCCCAGTTCCCCACCTGCAAAACAGGGGTAGCCACTGCCTGGTAGCTTTCTCGACCTGGGCAGGGGTGTGAGGCTTTATTTATAGTTAATGTCTCTATTGTGCTTTGAAATCATAAAGCCCCACGTAAGTATTCGAAACTCCTGCAGACTTACAAGACTACTGAGATAGGACGGCATCGCTTGGGATTAGTTTTTGTGCCATTTTTAACAGGTTTCCATGTCTAGCCTTTGCGACAGTAGCTTTTGTTATCATCATCTGCCCAGAGCCCTAGTTATCCGGTGTCCCTGTTTCCACAGTGTAACCGTGGGTCACAGCTGAGGATGCCAAATTCAGGACGAACTGCTGAGAAATAGGGCAAACACAACCCAAAACTGGTGGTTATTCTTTTATAAGATAGACCGAACCAACCACAAAAGTAAACTCCTGTTTCCCCACACTGGCTAACAGGAAAACATAAAGACAGTTCCCTCAGGTGTTCCAGTTCTCATATCACCACCAAAACCACAGGATTCAGAGATGAGTGGTTCTTTACAACCACTCTCATCAGATAACAGGTTCTTCTGATCCCAAAGGACCAGCCACACACTCAGGTCAATACATAACTTAGATCTTACCCCAAAATCACGCTGGTGCCAATCCCTTAGTAGCTAAAATCTAAAGGTTTATTTATACAAAGAAAGATGAGAGTTAAAATTGGTTGAAGGAATCAATGACATACAGTAATGGCAAAGTTCTTGGTGCAGGCTTGCAGCAGTGATGAAATAAACTGCGGGCTTAAGTCAAGTCTCCTGGAGTACATCCACTGCTTGGATGGGTCATTCAGTCCTTTGTTCAGAACTTCAGTTTGTAGCAAGGTTCCTCCAGAGGTAAGAAGCAGGACTGAAGACCAAATGGAGGTGTTTCCAGGGCCTTTTATAACATTTGCCATGTGGAGGGCATCCCATTGTTCTTACTGCGGAAAATTAAAGCAACAAGATGGAGTTTGGAGTCACATGGGCAAGTCACATGTTCATGCCCAGTTTCCCTCAGTCATTGCAGGAAGCCATTACCTACACTCCAGAAAGTACGTTTACAGGACAGTCCACTCAGTATAGATGGGCGTCTCCCTTGATCCATTGTCAACCAAGTGTTTCTTGATGAGCCACTTAATTTGAATAGTCCCTCCAAGATGTGCTGGCTAGCTACCTTGTGGGCGTTACCCCAGGAGCCAACATTTGAAATCCAAGCATAGAGCCAACACTTATAACTTCACATACAAAAATGATACGTGCATACAGACAGCATAATCATAACCAGCAAATCATAACCTTTTCATAGGCACCTCACTTGGCAACGGGGCTTGGGTGGCGCTTTAAAGGGCCCGGGGCTCCCCTGCCACTGCGGGGAGCCCCGGCTCCTTTAAAGCACCTCTGGATCTCTGGCAGCAGGGCTCGGGCGGGGGCTCCCCACAGTGCCCGGAGCACCAGGCCCTTTAAATCCCCGCCTGAGCCCAGCTGCCGGAGCCCCAGGGCTCCAGCAGGGATTTAAAATGCCCAGAGCTCTGCGGCGGACGGAGCCCCGGGCCCTTTAATTCACCCCTGAGCCCCGGGGCTCCCAGCCGCCTCTGCAGCGGGGTGATTTAAAGGCCCCACGGCTCCCAGCCAGAGCCCCAGGGCCTTTAAATCACCTCTTCTGGTTGAGGCCACACCTCTTCCTGTTGAGGCCACACCCCCACTCAGGACTCCAGCGTACCGATAAATCCTTTAAATTACTTTCACCCCTGGCTCTATTCAACCCCAAGTAGCCCAAAATCAGGGGTCAGGCCCCCAAAATTGTGAATTTTTTTTAAAAAATCATAAATGTTCTTATTTGCATTCTGATGTCAAATCCACTCAGGTCACATTTTCAAACTTCTCTCTGCAACCAGGAGGGCTAGAAACTGACTTATTTTTAAAAAATGAAAGCTGAGATTCTCATGTAATCACATGACTCCAGGAGCTGAGGCTTTAAGGAAAACACCAAAATAGTGCACGCATTAGCAACAGTGTTCACATGGGTGGGGAAGAATCATTTGAGCTAAAATTGGGATTGAAAATGGTTCTCCGAAGCTGGCTAAGGTAGAACAAACTTTTAGTTCGGTGGTGGGTAACCTGCAGCCCATGGGCCACATGTAGCCCATCCGGGTAATCCGCTCTTGGGCCGCGAGACAGTGTTACATTGACCATCCACAGGCACGGCCACCCGCAGCCCCCAATGGCTGCAGTTCACTGTTCCCGGCCAATGGGAGCTGCAGGAAGCGTTGCGAGCTGCAGGGACGTGCTGGCCACCACTTCCTGCAGCTCCCATTGGCCGGGAACAGCGAACCACAGCCACTGGATGCTGCAGGTAGCTGTACCTGCAGACAGTCAATGTAAACACTGTCTCACGGCCCACCAGCGGATTACCCTGATGGGCCACAGGTTGCCCACCACTGCTTTATTTCATCTGCCTGGTGTTTGTATTCACCTCACTGCAGACAAAAGATACACACCAGCACGGGCTATTTAGCTATGCAGAGATGTATTCTCTCGGGTTTTCCCATAACCCCAGAGCATGTCACGACCCTCCCACTGGCTTCTATGCACCTTTTAGCCACTTGTCTCTCACCTGCCACACCCATCTGCCAGAGATCCCACTGACCGGGCCACCTCCTTCCCCAAATCCCAGGACCAGGCATTTGATACGGGGCAGAAAAACGGTGAGCATGTGGAAGCATCGCTCTGCAGTTAATCAGCAAAGAGAATGGCTCCCAAAGCTTGCCCTTGGCAATCTCCCTGGAATCTCCTAATAAGCACCAGCAGGAAGTGGATTACCAAGGACCCTCCTGCGGGCGTGAGGCTTACGATCCATTGGTTTTTCCTCCTTTCCCAGGTGGGACACGAGTCACTTCCAGAAGGCCGGCGGGCCGCAAAAGGATAACTATGTCATCCATCCCGAGTTTGTGTCGGAGTCCTACCCCACTTCGCCGTGCTGGTAGAGAGGAGAGTCAGGCTTCCATTAAAATGGGTCTTGCCAACCTTCGCATGTTCGTTCCTTGCCATCTGTGAAACATCCCCACCCACCCACCCACCCACCTTCCCCGCGGCAGCATCGGACAAGGGGCAAAGGGAGATAAGAGGAGGGTGGAAACCTACTTTGCTGTGCAGCCGCCCTGAGCCCTCCCGCAAGCCTCTGCATGGCTGGCAACTTTGCTGCTCAAGATGGTTGGGCAGGAAAAGGGATTAGGATCTTCCCCTTGCCTGAGGGAGGCCAGAGGCGCCAGCTCCCCCTTCAATCTTCTGTCAAGCCCCAGAGTTTGCAGCCTTCTCCCTTCCAGATGAATTAGCTGTCTGTCTAGTTCACTAGAAGCTGGGGCTGTGGAACACAAGCCACTCCCTGCCCTGCAGTGATGAGCTTACTGACATCCCAGGGGAATCTGCAAAAGGAAACCCCAGTTCCCCCCGCACACCGCCCCGCCCCAGGTCCAAGGTTGCCAAGCCAGCCTGCAGCAGATGTATTTGGTGATGGATTCGCTAATGGCTTTATCTCATTAAACCTTCCCTATCCTGCTGCAATTGCAGTGCTAGATACATATTGTAACAACTTGCTGGCCACCTAGTGAGAACTTCACAGCCATCCCTGTGCCACACTCCATAACCACTTGGAATTTCATGGCAACAAGGTTGAGAGTACAGGCCCCATGCTGCTTGAGGTAAAAGAGAATCTTCATGTTTGCAATACAGGGTATATGACACACCATTGAGCAGTGCTGATTCCATTCAGAAGGGAACAGTGGTAAGTTCACAGACAGTCTTGCCAGCTCATGACTGCATTTTACTTTTCACTGCTTGAATATTAGTGTGATGAGAATCCATTCAGTAACAGCCATGCCAAAAGACAATATGTGGTTTGTACTCAACTTGAAAAATGAGTCTCCCTGCTTGTATCTTCCTTTCCCTCTCCCCTCCCCTCCCCAAACCCCAGACTAGCAGAGCCAGTCTACATTTGATCCAGAGCTCCCTTCGTTTATTCCAAATTAGGAAGAAAAGAAAAACTAGCTCTGGAATTGTAGGCTTGTCTGGAACGGACTGGCCAAGTCTCAGCAGATGGCCCAATCCTTTAACGGGTGGATCTTGGTCTCAGATAATAAAGATTAAATATAATGAGCCAAAGTCAACCCTGGTGTAACTTCACTGCGGGAAACAAAATTGCACTGAGGATAAATGTGGACCAGACTTGTGTTCGTGTTGCTGGGATCTGTCAAAGATTCTGTGCTGTTTGCTGAAATTAACCAGCTCCCTCCATTTCAGTAACAGATTAGAAATGCACAAGTGTGTTGCCTGTAGAAGGCTCATTTTTACCCAGCCCCCACCCAAGAGTCCCCTCCCCCCTCCAATACACAGAGTTACTGTCCCTGGGGGAATCAGGCATTTCCCCCCTTTATCCCAGGCCTGGCTGGAGCACATCACAGATTGCTTCCCACACCGGATGAACAGGAAAATCCCATCCACTGTGTCCCTAACTCCCTTTCTCCACCCACACAGCAATCCAGATACATTCCCATTCCCCACACACCACCAACCGGTTGCCCTTCCCCCCACCAGCAACCCCAGGCTGGTGCAGAATAGGGAAGGTGCAGCTGGGAGCCAGCCAATTAAGTGGCTCTAACAAAGGCCCCAGGGTTGCTTGAGTCATCCTTTGTTAAGCCAACCTTAACTCTACCCCAGAATCCCTGCCTACGTTCTGCTTCTTCATACCTCACACCCAGACAGCCCCTTCTTCTGCATAAAAGACACTTACTCCAAGCCCATTGTGAGTTAGGGTGGTATTAATTCCATTGAACTGAGACGTGCAGCCAGGGGAGCAACTTGTCCAGGACTATCAGGAATGGCACTCGGGAGTCCTGACCCCCCAGCCCAGCATTCAGATCAACCTGCTGTGTCAGGGATGAGCAACTAAAAGGGGTTGGTTAATATACCTGCTTATTAAGTGCTTGATTCAGCCAGGGGCTGAGCATCCTCATCAGCCAGTGGAGTTGGGGGGAGTAACATGGAGACCTCTCAGCATAAAGTCCTTAAGGGAACATGAAAACATTAAAGGAATGCGTAAGGCCCATCCGGTGTTTTTATGGGCAGACAGCACGTCTCTTCTGGGGTTCCAGGCAGCCGGGGTGGGAACGAATGTGGGGAAATTGGCTAAGCTCGGGCTCCAGCACTGACGCGTCTCACTGGCCGATTGCTCTGAGACGGGACCTCCACAGAGGGAACTTTGTGATGATGTGAGAGAAGCAGCCCTTCTTGGGCTTCTGCTCCTGGGAGGTCATGTGGAGGGCAGCCAGTGGAGTTTAAATACACTCAGCCCCTCGCATCAGGCAGAAGCCAAAGGACAAGCAGACAAGGGTCCTGCAGACCTCTTCACATGGCCGCACCTGCTCCATGCTGGCACAGGGCACATGCAGGATCAGAACCAGGCCCGTACTAGCCACACAAGGAGTCTCTCCCAGCCCCTCTGACGCACTCCCAAAGGAGGGGATTCAGACGAGCTCTACCATGCTGTCTTTTAAAGGAACATTCAGAGCTGGCGTGAGGCATAAGCAGACTAAGCAATTGAGTGGGGCTCCGGGCAGCTAAAGGTGCCCCCCCCCATTTGCTTTTTATTATGTGTTGGGGGGAAAAATATTCCCCCAATGTGCTAGGCCCAACACTGGGTACAGAGCCACCAATTAGGGCTTTTGGAAAATACCAGCGTGGCTCTGAAGATCTCCAGTGCTTGCTAATTAGACGTGGGCGGCCCAGGCCAGGGTTGCTCGGCAGCAGCTGATACAAAGACAATCGGAGCATTCTTACATTACATTTCTGAAGCCGTGATCAGTGATAATGGAAATACCACAAAGGAGGGAACCGTGGCCTGCCTGCAGAATATGAATTTTGACCTGATCATGGGCCAGTATGTTTCCCACAGTGGATTTACCAGCCCTGGCATCTGAAGTGCTGTCTGTATCCACAGAACAGGCGCAGCACACGGAACCGCAGAGCAAGCATCGAACCCCGACCCATCCCCCTCTCCGCGCTCCCAGGGTCAGTCCTGATGGCTCATGTAGGGTGGGAAGATTGCCCAGTGGTTAAAGTGACAGCCTGCGACTTGGGAGATCTGAATTCAGTTCCTTGCTCTGTTGCAAACTGCCCGCATTATGTTGGGCAAGTCACTTACGCCCAGATTTTTAAAGGTGTTTTGCCGTTGCTCCATTCAGTGTTGCGAGGTCTGCGTGACTTAGATAGCTAAGGCCCATTTTCAGAAGTGACTTAGGCTCCTGGTTGCTTAAGTTGCTTTTGGAAATGGGATTTAGCTGCCTAAAGGCCTTGCGGTGCTGAGCAGAGCAACGCCTAACATTTAAAATCTGGGCCTTAGTCTCTTGAGCCTCAGTTCCCCATAAACGGGGATCCTGTACCTCACAGGGGTATTGTAAGGAGAAATACATTAAAGGTTTGAAGGTGCAAGCAGACTGTGGCAGTAAAAGAATCACTGGCTCCCTTCATGTATGCTGCTACTGACCCGGGCTGCACCTGTTCTGTAGCAAACTCACTGCACGTTCTGGGGCTTTAGCCTGGCACCTTTTGCAAGCAAAGGTCTCTAGAGGAGGCTGCAAAAGAACATGCCTGGAGCACAGCACATTAACGCAGCCAGAAATAGATGTGATAATGATACCGGCCCAACCAGCAATAAACACGTTTGTCACTTACAGTCAGGGCTGTTTATAACTCACTCGCTTTTGCCAAGTTAGCCTCTAAGAACCGAACAACTGAAATGGAGTAAGGAAAAAAGCCTTTCTAAGCCAAGAGCTGGAGGCCAAGGTGCAACAGGGAATACTTTGATGTTATTAAACAGCTAAAATGATCAACTTCCCCAAAATAGTAGCTACTGGAAACCTTCCCCGATCCTATAACTAGAGAGCACCAGACAGGAGCGCAATATCAGTCACATAGGAACATAAGTCAATACACATATGCAGTGCATAGTGAGGCAGGAGAGGGCAGGAAGCATTTTGCAGCCTTTCCTGTGACAGTCCCAAGGCAAAATCTGTTTCAGAAATTTTTCTGAGGGAGTGGATCTCAGAGGCCTGCTGAACTACACCTTTGACAATCCAGGAAGTTTTTGGAAAGTGTTGGGGACAATTTCCTGGTGCAAGTGCTGGAGGAACCAACTAGGGGCAGAGCTCTTCTTGACCTGCTGCTCACAAACCGGGAGGAATTAGTAGGGGAAGCAAATGTGGACGGGAACCTGGGAGGCAGTGACCATGAGATGGTCGAGTTCAGGATCCTGACACAAGGAAGAAAGGAGAGCAGCAGAATATGGACCCTGGACTTCAGAAAAGCAGACTTTGACTTCCTCAGGGAACTGATGGGCAGGATCCTCTGGGAGAATAACATTAGGGGGAAAGGAGTCCAGGAGAGCTGGCTGTATTTTAAAGAATCCTTATTGAGGTTACAGGGACAAACCATCCTGATGTGTAGAAAGAATAGTAAATATGGCAGGTGACCAGCTTGGCTTAACAGTGAAATCCTTGCTGATCTTAAACACAAAAAAGAAGCTTACAAGAAGTGCAAGATTGGGCAAATGACCAGGGAGGAGTATAAAAATATTGCTCGGGCATGCAGGAGTGATATCAGGAGGGCCAAATCACACCTGGAGTTGCAGCTAGCAAGAGATGTTAAGAGTAACAAGAAGAGTTTCTTCAGGTATGTTAGCAACAAGAAGAAAGCCAAGGAAAGTGTGGGCCCCTTAATGAATGAGGGAGGAAACCTAGTGACAGAGGATGTGGAAAAAGCTAATGTGCTCCATGCTTTGTTTGCCTCTGTCTTCACAAACCAGGTCAGCTCCCAGACTACTGCACAGGGCAGCACAGAATGGGGAGGAGGTGACCAGCCCTCTGTGGAGAAGGAAGTGGTTCGGGACTATTTAGAAAAACTGGATGAGCACAAGTCCATGGGGCCAGATGCGCTGCATCCGAGAGTGCTGAAGGAGTTGGCGGATGTGATT